TGCCTCTGGAGGATTTACAAACAAAACTTGTCACCAGCCTCTCTTGGTCATGCAACATACTCAGACATTCCCTGAACACATTGGTCCACTGGTTGCACGCAGTACACAGATCACAGATGTCATTTTCCCTTATATTCAAGAACCCAGTCATCAGAGAGTGGTCTCATTCACGAGGTTTAAGGAGAATCGGCTTGCTTTCTTTCCCTTATGTCTCATCTTAGAAGAGTAACTTGTTGGGAGAAACAGGGGTTCTTTGGGTCAGAATCAGGATAAAAGCTTTACTTTTAAAAGCCAGGTATTTCTGAAATTACGTTTACAGAGGGCCTGTCTGCTGCAAAGAAAATCTGTCCATATTGGAAGGCAAGGCTTGTGCTTCGCTAGCGCTAACCTAGGGCTGGGGAAACAGAAAAATCATTCTTGCAACACCAATGAGAGCAAGTACAGATAACACTTTAAATTCTGCTCTAAACCCTTCTGACTTCCCAAGTGTAATGCTAAATCATGTTATTTCCCACACTGTTCATGTTTTTCATTAGCAGTGGCTGTTTGGGGTCTGGCTGCATTATAATTTAATATGAGATGATTAGAGATGTGACTTAGAGATTCTCATAAACGGTGTCCAGAAAGCGTGGATGTCTAAATTAGGCTGTATAGTTTTCTGTCTAGTTGAATGAGATAATACTGACCAGATCACACTTGTTACATTGATAAAACTTGTGCTTTTGCTGATGCAGTGTGCTCATTCACCAGTTTTGAGTTAATCAGGGAAATTAAACCTGGTTGCACTTCTGTCAAGAAGCCAGCTGGATGTCACTATGACGAGGTCCCAGGCTTGTTCCTTACAGGATATTCTGAGGTACCTTATCTTGCTCTCACTGCTGGTTCTATGCCAGCGGGTTTTTTCCAGGAACTGAAGTTAGGCTGACTTGGTCTAAAATTCTTTGCCTTCTCTTCTTCCTTGTTAGACACCGCACTTTTATTTCCTTCCCCACCTTTTGAAATCCCACCCACACTGCAGAATTCTCCAACGCAATCGCTCGCTGTGCAGGTGACTTCAGAGAGGTCCTGCACTGCCCTTCCCTGGGAGATATGCGACTGCCTTGCTCTGGGTGGCTGCCTTGAAAATAACCCAAACAGACCCCCCAACCGAGAATATGTCCAGATTTTTAATCCCCAGAAGCTTTCAGCAGGCCCATCCACTACTGCATAGAGTAGCACTTGGCTACCTAAGTCTGTCACATTTTCCAAATTAGAGAAAGGAAAAGATTTAGAAATGCTGCAGATAGTATCCAGAGTTGCATAGTCCCACTGTATGTAATGTAGCTTGTATTACTATATATCCTGTGTCTTTCTTGTGAGAGAGATAATTCCTTATCATTTTTAAGGTAAAACCATAGCCACAACTGTTACTGCAATCTTAACAGTTCAATCAGATTACAAGATACAGAAACCAATAGACAACTTGATTGCCGCGCTGAAATGTAAATGCCTACAGCTCCGCTCCTGCTACATTCTCATCCCTTGTAAACTCCCACCTCTCTCTGCTTTGTTACGGAGATTATCACGAGAGCAATATTCCCCCTCCTTTTCTTGAAGACACTGCATCATTTACGTTAGCGTTCTTTGCCACGTGAACAGTGACGTCCTGTTGTCTCTAAATATTTGTGCTGTTCACTGTGATTCTTTTGCAGCGTAACTGGCACTATGCCTCCCTGCCGCTTTTTATCTGTGTAGTTAAACATAAGTGGTTTATCGTATAGTTTACCTAAATGTCTCTAGTACAGTTATTGGCTCATGGTGAATAACTGTGTGAAAGGTGGTTATCAAAACCAAGAGTAAGAGAGAAAGCTGCACGAGCAAGTAATTGATTAGAAGTTGATCCGTTTTGATATAAGAAAAATAAGAGCACCATCTTTCAATTGAGTTATTTCACAAGAGGCTTTCCTTTTGTCAAAAGTCAGTTGTTATGCACAGCTTAGCTGTCTTACCATCCACATCACATTGCATCAAAACCACTTAATTCACTTGCTGTTGACAAAGGACACTGTATGTGAAAGCCAGGATTTATAAATATGAGTACCAGGGAACCCTTGTATTAATCCAGAAGCTTCCCTAGTCCAATATCTTCAAATGATACAGACTTCACAGAATTTCTGCTAGGTTGAAATTCATTTACTTGAAATGGACCTAACTCCAAAAAAAAGTCTACTGAAATTCTAGATACCAAGTGCTTGAAAGAACAGCTTTTTTGTTTTCCCCATTACTTTCTGCCTTAGAAAGAACTAAACTTACAGCTAAAGCTTAGCATTAAGATGAGCTCATTAGGTGCAAACCTCTTTCCTACATGCAACTAGAGGGAAGAGCAGCAGGCCTTTTTCTTGTTCATTTGCTTTTAGGATAAAAAATAATTTTCGGTCTTAGACTCCTTCTTAGCTTCTGAAGAGTGAAAAAAACCCAGTGATACAATCTGCATGCTCTATGGAGTTTCACAGCTGGTTTTAGTCACTTGTAACTGATGACAATAATATTTGTGGCTCTGCCTTCAAAACAGGTCTTCTGATGCACTAGAATGTCATTTTGGTATTTTTCAACATATACCACACTGCTGTCATGTAATGATCAGCTTCTAATGAGAAAGTGTTTTATACTAATTTAAGAAAGCCTCAGGTCTACTGAAGACTGCTGACCTACAGCAGGCAAACTTATTTCATCTATAATACATAAAAGATCAGAATTTCCTTTTGGAGAAACTATGCCAAGTATGCAACTGGGAGTAGAGTGCTAGCTGATTAATGTGTTATTAAAAAGACAACTAACTTAAGCTTCCAAAAGTAGTTTAATTAGAGATTAAAATTATTAGGCTGCGATGAAAAGCAGTTATTTTCCTGAATGTAAAAGATGTTTAGAAAGACAGACATGAAATTAAGACAATTTCCCTCGTAGCAAAACCGTGAGATTCTGAAGCATAATTTCTGTTTTACTCATTAGTTCATCATATCTTTGGTCAGAAAACCTCTTGCTACAATTGAGCAAATTGTCAAACACAAAGGTTAGCCTGAGGCATGGTCAGTGAAGCCAAGAGGTGGATAGACAGTGGCTAATACAATAGATTTGGCAAAGATATTTCAGATTTAAAGCTTTAACTTTTTTTCCTCTCACAAACACTGGATTTAATCAGTAACATCACCACTTGATACTGTAATAATTATTGAAAACAACTTAGTAAACACCCTCATATTTAAGAATAATGTTTAACCGTCAGAGATGAGGGTGAACATTTTGGGGTAAATGCATGCAGTTTTGCAGCAAAGCGTGATAGAAAAAGCTGATACTAGCTAGCAATCAGAATCAGTATACCAGAGAAAGGCAGACCTTGGGCATTTCATTGTCATCACAAAACCATAAACTTGTAAAAAAAGCAAATTTATCTTAACTATCTTTGTAAAATTTCCTCACTTTAATAATTTTTGTGGAAGGAACTGCTTATTGGACTTAAAACTACAGATGCAAGGAGCAAAATACTAGTAACAAATCCAGGTTTACAGTAGGTGCCAGAGGAAAATAACATTGTGATTGCAAATCCATAAGGGAGGTTTTTTGCCAGTTTCTAATTTGTCGCAAGAATTTATTGCTAACTTGTTTTCTATATTAATACCAGAATACAGTGACACTTCAAATCTGCTAGACCAATTTATTAAAAACTGCACTTTTAAACTGGGACATTTGTCAAATGTAACAGATTGCATAACTGACATTTCCCAACTTTAACCTCTAAAATAAAATACAGAAACGCAAACAAGTTTACTTCAGCATAATTCTATATCCAAACTTCAAAAATGGTCTCTGGCATTGTCCGAAATGTAAACTTTTTTCAGTACCAAGGAAGTTTGTATTTGTTAGAAAGTTTGCTTTCCCCAAGACATTTTTTTGAGAAGAGCTTCAACCTTGTTCAGCATTTTTATATGAGCTCTAAGCCACCCCCGACTGTGGTTCAGGGAAACAAGCTACTTATGTTTTCAACATGAATCTTAAGCAGCAAAGACCTCTTAACATCACCCTCCTGAGTTTTAATGTATCAAGATGGTGATACATTACACATGCATGTGATATATATGTGTATATAGACACACTATACACACACATATCATGTATATATAAATATATATATAGTGCACCTACTAGGGCCAAAAATCTTTGCAACTATTACTATCAGTTAAGGTACAAGCACAATCATCAGGATTCACCAAGACCTGGATATGCCAAACATTAAAATAAAGTCTGACACAATAGGTGTGCTTTTACTGTTCTCATTTTTAATAGTGCAAAAAAAAGTAAGTCAGTAGTTCACTATTTTAAGATAGTCCTAATTCTAAGAATACTTCCATTTGCAACCAAAGACGCAGTAGCTGTTTTTTGCAAAAACAGGTAAAATATTTGAGGCCAAATAAATTACTGTAATATTTTTGTGGAACTGAATTATAAAACTAGTAGTCCTTTGTACAACCTTAAGAAAAAAGCTTTAAAAAGATCTTTTGCCTTCATAGAAGAGCATACTGGCAGTGTGTATAAAGCAAACAGAGTAAGTCCATTTGGAGCTCAAGCTGTACAGAAGTCAATATGTGCTAGTAGTTCTCTGTGCTGGCTTGTTGGATACTGCTCTTTACATCTGGGACACTCGAGAAAACTTTCATCAAGAAGGCTTGAATGTTTCAGGGAAGGACTTCTGTCATAGGTGGTCAGCTTCTCTTCAAACACAGCTTGCAAATCTTCCTGCAGTTCCATACGTCCAGATTCCTGAAGTTTCTGGAAAAGGAGAAGCTTTAGTGCAAGACTGGGGCACTGATCAAAAACTGTAGGAAAAAATATTGATGTTTGATGGCACATGAGCCTTGTGTGTGTTACAGCACTAAGGGTAGCATTTTAAAGATGGCTAAATGCAGTTATGCTACTTGTGTTAATAACAGAGGGCCTGTTGTACAAGTCAAACACCACATTTAAATTAGATTGCAAAGTAGCTTTTCTGCAGGCTATTTAAGACAGGTTTCCCACAGTGTCTGACTGGGAATCCTTCCCCAGCCATCTTCCTAGCCACTCACACACTATCTTTCCTTAATAAAATGTTGCCTCAGTCCCCTCTGTGTAGGATGCTGCCTATTACCTTCCTAAAAACTCTGCTGTAATGTTCTTTTCTCCTGTGCGTGAGGTTTCAGTGTGCGAAGGCTGTCCCTAACTGTAAAAGGCATCTGGGTTGTCTGTCTGACAACTACTCCTCTGCCTTCTCAGCACAAAGAAACTCAAAACTGTAACTTCCCTGCTCTACTCCCAGCAAACAGAGGGTTTTCCAGTGGTCTCCCCTGGCAGCAGCAGCAACTGCAATCCTAATAAGCAAGGCTCTCCCAGGGGCAATGCATGAGTGAAAAACATCAGTATGTCAGAATTCGTTCCATTCCATTCCTCATTTGAGAAAATATAACCAAGTTACATATAACTAAGGGGGAGAGCAGTCTGGCAGAGCTGCAGAACAATTCTGCTCATCTGGAACTTGTTAGGAGCTTTTGCATTTATCTTCTCTGTAAAAAGCACAGCAGCTCAGGCCTGATCTAATGAAGGACACAAGTATCTGATTTCCTTTTTGAACCTCATTTAAGTAAGTCCAGAAATGCAGTTTTGACAATCCTATTCAGCTATCACCTAATCTTAGAAGGTACCTTACTGTAGAGTTCCAGAAGCACCAACAGTCAAAATGCATTTCTGCTCAAGACCAGGGCAATCATGGATACAACAGAGCAAAACAGATCAATGGCTTGCTTAATACTTAATCCTTCCCTACAAATTTCTACATTAAGTGTAGGGCTTGAATCTCGGTGGCTTTCTTTGGGCTTATATAATGAGCAACAAACAGACCATGGCCCTCACAACACAACAAACGTCCTTTTTCATTGTAGCAGGGAGCTTGTGTTTTTGGAAATTAAAAACCCTGGTTCTAATGACCCACGCATCCTGCATCGGATGGAGGTGGGGGAGGAATTCGACTTCTATATTTAAGGATTGTGTCCTGTTCACTAGGAGCAAGTCTGAGTAGAAGCATACTGTGGCTTTGTCATTGTGCAACAGACTAGATACTCTGTGATACAAAATACAATTGTGTTCCCTGCTCAGGAACTGGACTATTCTGCATCTCCTTCTGCAGTACTAGTTCTCTGTGTATGCTGTAGAGAAAAATGATGCCTAGCTAGTTGACATTGGGTTTGGCACCCTGAGGCCACATACTTGGAGGATGGAAGGGCCTACAGTGAATACCTGATGACGTTAACAGAAGACACTATGCTTGAAATAAGATCTGAAAGTGAAAAGATGTACATTTATGTAAAATCCCTGACTAAATTCACCTGCAAGTTATTCGGTACATACCAGAGGTTCCAGACGGGTTATTTGCTCCCTGGCCTTCCGCAGTTCCTTAAGGACTTTGTTTAACTGATGCTGCAAGTTCTGGCGATCGAGCTTTTCATTCTCAAAGTCTGTGGTGCATATCTGGATCTGACAACCAGAGGGAGAGAGAGAAAGAGAGAAATGTTTCCCCTTTATATATTTCAAGTAAGTTTTACTCTGCTGTCATATACTGAGATTTAAAAAAAAAAAAAAAGTTGCTTTCACTACAGTGAAATTCATACATGCCCAGTTATGAAAATCTCTTTTAGTAGGGGTGGAGTTTGAAGTTATTTTGGTTGGAGGGTATTTCAAGCTGTCTTGCAATCTTAAGCTGAACATTTCATAGAAAAGCATGCAGTGCAAGTTGTCATTAAAAATGCCAGTTTCTACTCCAGAATCTTTCTTTTAGCAAGAAAATTTGACAGAAACTATGGGTAACACTGTACACCCAAACGTAGCAAATAAGTGTAATGTTTTTTCCCAGTAACATCAATTAGATCTGTAAGAACATACTTGGAAAAAATAAAGATGCAAAAGATGGCAATGCAATTATTTGTATAACCTTACCAAGAGTATATTACAAAGCTTCAATGAGCTGATTGGTTTTAGGATGTTTCCCATACCTAATCTGTACAGTTGAACAAGTGATTGTGGAGAAAAGAGCATCAGTTCTGATCATACTCTCTTATCTATAAAAGGTTACAGATTTTGCTCTTGACAGACATGTCAAAATTTTTAGAAGCATCAAGACATTATTTACAGTTGAATATTCACATCTATTATTACGTTATTTAATATACTACTCTTTCTTAAATTTGAAGTTAGTCTAGAAAGCCTTTGTGCAGAATACAGATTAAGACGCATATAATTCAGTACCTGTTGTTCCAACAGGGCTATCCTAGTATGTTCCTCCTGCTGTTTGAGCAATGATTTACGAAGAAGTTGCACCTACAAGGCAGAAACATATTTGTAATAAGGAACTTCCATATACAACAGTTAATAAGCTTAACAAAGAATCTAAAAAGGGATGGAGATAAACTTTTATACTCCAATGCCAACAGAAGAATGTATGCCTGTTATGCAACAGCCAAACCCAGTTCAAATATCTCCACTTCTCTGGGAAAAACCCCACGGAAACTTTATCATTGCATTGAACAGGGGGAATGCAGGATGATGTTTCAGTTAAAAAAAAAAAAAAAAAAATCAGATTGAACTTTCCTATGTGATTGCTAGGATGCAGACAAAAATACACAAAACTCATGTTTGCACTAACATGTCATGATGTTAAAAAAAATAAGCAATGCAACTTTTTTTTAAAATAGAACAAGTTTAAGACTCAAAGTACTATACTATAATGGATTAAATAAATGTAAAAAAAGTACAAATATCCTCAGTTATCAGCATGTATGAACTTTTGTAGTGAATGCTGTTGTTCAGCTGCAAAAAATAAATCAACACCTAATAATTATTAACTGGTGAGAACCAGCCCATGTTTACAGAGCTGAACTGTTGTTCTAGTTTTAGCCTACTTTGGTGCCTAGTAAATTTTATTCTTATATTTCAAATTTCAGTTCTACATTGCTTTGTTATTGACCACAAACTTTTCCAAGTAGCAAGTCTATCTTATTTGGAGGCCCTGAGGACAATCCTTCCAGATGGACTTTCTAGTTTCTCTTCAGCAGGCATGTGGTCATAATTTCATGTCCAGAAGAAGAAACAACAGATTTTTGGGTTTGGTTTTTTTTTTCGTTAGCATCACCACGCTAACAGGAATATTCCAAGACACCACTGTAACTCTCCATGTAGGGGAAGTGGCAAAGTCCTCATGAGTATTCCAAACAAAAGCAGGTAAGCACTTAATATTTTTAAATACAAACTTATCGCACACAGATGTCTTCCCCTGCCTCTTATCAGCCAGAGTGATCAAATTCATTGGGCTTGAAAGGAAGAATTAAGAACTTAACATATTAACAGAATTATTTCTCTGAAGTCATCATGGTACTCTTTGGGTGATGGGCAAGCCCTGTGAACCATTAGAATCTGACGCAAAAGCAACAGAACATATCTGGCGACACTGTAAACCACACATTGAACAGCCTGCCTGACAGGCACTTCTTAGGTTTTATAGGGAATTACTGAACCCTTCCCAGTGCTTTCCACCACTGCTTCAAGACAGTGACAACTTAAGGTCCATCCCTTCCCTTTCCTTGCTTATCTGGCCATTGCTTTCTAGTACTCCGGTGTGCCTGCATAGTTCTTATCCATGGCATCACATAGAGAACCAAATGGAGGAACTCACTGAATGGGAAAACAAACAAAACCCAGCTGCATGGCCACAATGGTTGGCTGGGGGCACTATCCAAGGACACGGCTGCTTATCCAGTAACTATGAAACTACAAAGCCATGTGTGTATTTGTAGCAGCCAGGTGACAGCAAATCAGTGATATTCCATCATTAGGACCCCATGATAAAATAGTTGGAAGAGACTTGAATTTTTACCTTTCCTGTTCTCATTTACTATTAACCTTTAGGATGAACTAGATCAGAGTCAATTAAATATTCTCTCACTTCTCCCTCTTGTGTCCCACAAGACCAGGGAAAGTAGCAAACAAGTAAGTTCCTTGTTTAAACAACGAAGTTTCACAGAAGTTTGGATTTTGACTCAATATATTAAAGAAAGTATTCAATTTTAACCACAGGACAGATACACATAAAAGAACAGTTACCAGAGCAAGTGAGTGACGGTCCATTCTGATTAAATGACTTCTCAGCTGTCTTGATTCTTTGCTAATGATCTTAAACCTCCAAATGCATCCACTTACCTGACATAAAAGATCTTCAGACTTTTTCTTTTCTTCTCTGAGCTGTCCTTTAATAGTTTCATTTTCTTGTTTTAGTCTCTGCACTTTCTCTCCTTTCATTTTATTTTCATTTTCTAGAGTCTTCATTTCAGCAACCTGTTGCGACTGTAATAAGGCATTTAAACTCGTTATTTCTCGTTGTGTTTCTTCATACTTCCTTCTGAATTCGTTAAGTTCAGATCTCAGCTGGGTTGCAGTACGTCTTTCAGTCTCAAGATCACTCTTAGCAGTTAGTAACAGCTGGTCATAATATTTTTGCTTTTCCTCTTGTAGATGACCTTAACAAATCAGAAATAATTGATATAGTAAAGGGGGGGGAGAGCATACTGATAGAAATTGACATTCTAGGCTATTACACAGCTCAGACTGGCACCAAACTTTAGTTAAAACAGATTTCAATACGTCTAATGCAGTAAAGCCTCCTTCCCAGTATAGTTACTGGAAAACTGCAACTTGGCTTGCATGTAGTATTCTGTGCTACAGCCACTTCCTTCACTAACCCTTATAGCAATGTTATATCCTTTGCCCTGACTAGACAAGCTCCATGACCCACACATAGTTCTTTTACGGCCTCACACATTATACTGATGCATGGGAATCAAGGCCCAAAGACACTAGATTCTCGCTTCCAGATTGAGCCTCCTTAGCCAAGGTTCTGGCATTATTCCCTCCCCAGAGATACCCTGGGAAGCTGAGGGGCCTCTACCTTACCACTGTTGACCAAAGCCAGACTATCCATTGTCATTTGTAGATTATTTTCTTCAAATTGCATGCCATCATTAACTTCTAAATTGCAAAGAAAAGGGACTAGGATAGGGTTTTGATAAAAAAATGCCTGCTTCCTGGCTAGTGACTGTTACTTAAAGCAGAGTTTGAGAAATTTCTGCTTGTCAACCCAAGAAAAGTTTAGGAAGCAGGAAAGAAAAAAAAAAAAAAAGAGGTAGCTTGTAGAAATTCAGTAGTAATACAAAATATACGTAAAAGCAGAACAAGGAATGCAGAATTTCACAGGCTTTGCTGATTTTTGGGACTGTGAATTTCTTGACTTTGATACTTTTCCTATTGAAGGCTTCCCCTTATTCTTCAAAGCGTAATTTACTAGGGAAAGTTTCTTACTTGACTATTCTCCCTCCCCTAGACTATGAGCTAAGCCTTACCTTCTGGTTAGCAATACTTCTTTATAAGGTAGTGGGATACCAAGTTCTTCCTTGGAAAAGAAGTTGTCATATCTACTTTCAACTTGTATAGCTAGGTTCTTAGAAACTTGAATCTCTGCTACTGTCCAGCTGCTTGAAGAGGAGAACTTTCGGATACCCTTACTCCTAGTCTCCCAGCTGCTCTGATTACAAAGCTTTCACTGCAGTAGCCGAGTTACATTTCCTGGTGAGCTACTTCAGTCTGCCTCCCTCTAAAATACTGTTCATAGATTTCTGAGCAGCACCAAAACAGAATTATGATATTTTACTGTTTTCCATAAAGATTCAAGCAGTAATACAGAAACCAAGCCACCATGAATTACTAAGTGGTAAGTATCTTTGGGCATACTCTCACTCCAGATGATGCTAGTTTTATGCCATGAAATTACCTTGCAGATCAGTTGCAGGATACATGAAATTAATTTGACAGTAAGAAAAGCAAGCCAACTCCTTCTGGTTCTTCTGTTCAATGTGATTTTAATTTTATTCCACGTGCTGGTCAAGCACAGCTCAAGTCGATCTGAATGCATGGTACTGAGAGGGTGCTCATTATTGAGGAACGATGTAGCACGGAAGTGAGATAGAGGTGGCTAGATCCATAATGCAAAATACTGATTTGGATAAGTGCCAAAACCTACTGCAGGTTGTCATGCCATGTAAGAACTATTCAGGTGAGTAAAGAACGTGGCAGTCTTGAGTCATTTTTATAATGTTTATTTTGAAAACAAATTTAAAAAACCTGATCCACACCTAGCTAATAAATCCTTAATGCTTCCATTATGCAGGGTGAAAGTGTACTTTGAAGGATGTGACACGTAACATATTTGCCTCAACACTTTCCGCAAACAGAGAGGTTGCAAGTAGTGTCGAGGCTGTTAAAAAACATTTTTGAAGTAGATAAGAACTTGAAATACTGTCGATCAAGTAACATAGCTAGATAACAGGAAGCAAAGAAGTTTTACTTAAACATGTTTTATTATTAAGAAACAAAAATGATGAGAAGGAAGTCTTGATTTTGTTTAATTGTGCTATAATTCGTTCTTAGAAAACTTGTTCTATAGATAATTATGGTTTGGGTCAACTGTGGGAAAAAATAAAGTCAATACCTTCTGAATTAACTTCTTTAGATTCTTGTTGGCTAACTATTTCTGACTTCTGTTCAAGTTCAAAGATCCTTCCAAGCAGTCCCCTGACATACACTTCACGTTGCTGGTCATACAGTAGCCACTGTTGGTTTTTCTCAAGAGCCTTCATGAAAAGGAACAGAAGAACAACAAAAAAGCCTCTGGTAATTTATCAGATTTTGAAAGTATTAATTGTCTTAAAAATGTTAAAAAGTTATATATTATACATTTTAAAGATAATTAATTCTGCTGCAAATTGTAGTAATCTTCTCTGTACAACAAATAAAGCCCATCTTCATTTAGATAAGTCAGGATGTTTACCATAAGTTAAAATTGCAACAATATTAAACACCAGTTGGCCTATTTCTTGGAATGGGAAAATGACTTCAAAACAAAGGCTTTCATGAGTCATGCCCAGATTATGAAGAATTAGCCTTTCAATCTCAAATATAAAATAAAAATAACAGATCTTGAAAATGCAATAAACTAAAACTGTATCATGGCAACTTAAAGTTTGTATGAACATGGACATGGATTTTGTATCTGATTGGATCATAGAATTATTCAGGTTGGAAAGGACCTCAGGAGGTTTCTAATCCAACCTCATGCTACTGCCAGCAGCGTCAGCTCTGAGGTCAGACCAGGTTAGCTAGGACTTCTGTTTTGTCAGCAACCACTTTGTTCTGAAGTTCCAAGCAAGGTTTTTCAAAGATGGTGGAAATACTGTCCTTTTTTTTTGTTGTTTAAATTACTGTCCTTTCACAAAATAAATTTAGATATTGTATTTTAGAGCGGAACAGACCCTCTGAGGTCCCATACTACCCAAAAACGTATATGGTGGTAATTTACATTCTTATGCATCTCTATGCAGATGGTTTATACTTGCAGTGTTGTACATAAAACTTACATCCTTCAGTTGGCTTTCAACTTCATAAAGATTAGTTAGTGATCCAGTGCTGTTTGTTACAGCTTCCTGCAGACAAAGAAAAACCTGTTAGTGTTCTTTAAAATAGATGGCTGAAACAGTAAAGCTAGTCCTGTATAACTATTCATCTCACATAAATAGCATAAGAATATTTTAAAAATGGAAAACAGATGCATGCATGTGCCTTTTGTGTTTCAAGATCTTTATAGTCCTTTTTTAAAAAAGGATCTAAGTAACATAGAAAACCATTTCATAAAGTTAAAATAAAACCTCCTGGAAGATACGTGACAAAGATTTCTATTTCATTTACTCTGTAACGCTGCAGCTCATAGTTAGATTAAAACATTTCCTAACAAGAATATCACGTCTTCTACTGAACTGCTATCTTGGGAGACCTGAAGGGTGCAGAAGAGCTGCTGAAAAGTGAAGCTGTTTAGGGTATTATTTAAATACACAAAAAAGGTAAGCGCTTGTTCTATTTTCGTTTGACAGTATGCTAGACCACAGTTAGAGTGCTTAAAGTTTGAGTTGGAGAGTTGTTTAGAGCCATCTAAAACTAAACAGCAGTTAAACAGTTATACTTCTTTCATAATCTGATATATTTATTCACTGCATGATAGAAGGGGTTTTGAAGTGTAGATATAAGTCAGAAGGAACTTTAAGAAAATAAAAATGTAGATTACTACCCAAACCCAAGCTACATTTTTCCAAAGTTTTCCTGTGTTTTTTGGAACATGATACAGAACAAACTTTATAATTGAAAAAATACAGGAGATCTTTGAATGCAATTGTTAAACTTTAGCAGTTCCTAATAAAAACTGAATTTAGAGACACTACAATTGCACAGATTCCTATTTCTATAAACATTAGAACACTATCTCAGTGAAAGCTTTCTCCAAATTATCATACAACTGTTGTTTCCATTTCAGAGTATACCTGCTGCTCATATGCCACCTAGCAGTTTCAAGCAGCATTGCTAGACTTATTTTAAAGTTTTCCAAGACATTCAGTCAAAACATCAGTCAAATTTTATTGTTCTCCGCGGATAAATCGGTAAAACATTTAGAGGAAAATTCTGATTTTAAACTAAAAGATATCTCGGTAGTTCATTGACAAAAATACAATGGAAATATGTTGAATTAATATACATTTTACATTCTCTGATAAAGTTCAAAGTCTCTTGAAATTAAAAATAAACATGTTGCATTTAAAGTGGCCTTTCCCAAGATACTGCATTATTGGAAGTGATACATATATGTATTATAATTGAAAATCAGTAGATTAAGACATTAAGGTATTTGGCTAAAGCTAGATTTCTAGAATTACTCAATTTCCCTGTAGAGCATGGGGAACCAGCACCATCTGCAGGTCAAAACCTGGAAAAGACCTACAGGCACCTCTTTTAGGTACAAACTTCCCTGTGCCCCTTATTGAAAGACTATTGCATTTTCCATGGAACATTAGAAAAGGCAGGGGTGGAAAAACAACTGTAGAAAACTAAGTGCACTTGCAAAAGCTGCCAAGTACCTGGAACCATACTTATTAACCATTTTAAATGAGATCAGCAACTCATTATTCCTGTCCTATCTTCTGTCACATTGAAGTATTTACCATGTGTGATGCCATGTAAAGTACAGGCAACTAGTTTTAACAACCAAGAAGCAAATGAGGATTCATAAGAGCAGGGAGGAGAAAGATATTGTCATAGAATCATAGAACGGTTTGGGTTGGAAAGGATCTATAAAGGCCATCTAGTCCAACCCCCCTGCAATGGGCAGGGACATCTTCAACTCAATCAGGTTGCTCAGAGCCCTGTCCAACCTGACCTTGAACATTTCCAGGGGTGGGGCATCTACCACCTCATTGGGCAACCTGCTCCAGTGTTCCACCACCCTCATCATAAAAAATTTCTTTATATACAGTCTAAATCTACCCTTTCAGTTTAAAACCATCCCTCCCCTAGTCTGATGGCAACAAGCCCTGCTAAAAAGTTTGCCATCATCTTATAAGCCCCTTTTAAGTACTGAAAGGCCGCTATAGTCTCTCCTAAGCCTTCTCTTCTCCTATGAGGAAAGGCTGAGAGAGTTGGGGTTGTTCAGCCCTCTGATCATTTTTGTTGCCTTCCTCTGGACCCGCTCCGACAGGTCCATGTCTCTCCTGTGCCGAGTGCTCCAGGTAGAGTATCACCAGAGTGGAACAGAGGGGCAGAATCACCTCCCTCGAGCTGCTGGCCATGCTGCTTTTGATGCAGCCCAGAATATGGTTGGCTTTCTGCGCTGTGAGCACACATTGCCAGCTCAGGTCCAACTTTTCATACACCAGTATGCCCGAGTCCCTCTCTGCAGGGCTGCTGTCAATCCCTTCATCCCCCAGCCTATATTGATACGAGGGGTTGCTCCAACCCAGGTGCAGGACCCTGCACTTGGCCTATTTGAACCTCATGAGATTCACACAGGCCCACTTCTCAAGCTTGTCCAGGTTCCTCTGGATGAAATCCCATCCCTCAGGCCTGTCAACCACACCACTGATCTTTGTGTCATCTGCAAACTTGCCAAGCGTGCACTCGATCCCACTATGTCACTGATGAAGATGTTAAACAGTACTGGTCCCAGTATGGACCTCTGAGGGATACTTATCACTGATCTCAGTGAAGGACTGTGTCAAAGGCCTTGCAGAAGTCCAGACAGACGACATTTGTAGCTCTTCCCTTGCCTACTGGTGCAGTCACTCCATCACAGAAGGCTGGTCAGGCAGGACTCGCCCTTGGTGAAGTCATGCTGGCTGTCTCAAATCACCCCCCTGTCATCCCTGTGCCTTAGCATAGTTTCTAGGAGGATCTGTTCCATTATCTGCCTAGTCACAGAGATGAGGCTGACAGGTCAGTAGTTCCCAGGGTCCTCCTTTCTAACCTTTTTAAAAGCGAGTGCAATGTTTCTCTTTTTCCAGTCACTAGGGACTTCACCTGATTGCCATGACTTTTCAAGTACCATGGAGAGTAGCTTGGCAACTACGTAAGCCAATTTCCTCAGGACTCTGGGATGCATCTCCTGAGGTCCCATAAACTTATGTATGTTCAGGTTCCTCAGGTGGTTGAAAACCTGGTCATCTCATGCAGTGGGAGGGACTCTGCTCCCCTAGTCCCCATCTTGCAGCCCATCCACTCAAGAGGTGTGGGAAGAGACGTTGCTAGTGAAGACTAAGGCAAAAGTTGAGTGTTTCAGCCTCTTCCTTGTCTGTTCTCATCAGTTTGCTGTCAGGGGGTACACTTTCTTTGACCTTCCTTTTCTGACTGTTTGCTTCCCGTAGAAGCCCTTATTATTTTTTGCATCCCTTGCCAAGTTCAACTCCAGCCACGCCTTGGCCTTCCTGACCCTATTCCTACACAACTGGGCAACATCTCTATACTCTTCCTGGGATACCCGTCCCTGCTTCTACTGCCTCTGCATTTCCTTCTTGCCCTTTAGTTTGACCAGCAGGTCTCAACTTAGCCATGCTGGTCTCCTGCTTTCCTTTCCTGATTTCTTACACCTGAGGATCGAGAGCTCTTGCGCTCTACAAAAAGCATCCGTAAAGATCTGCCAGCTCTGTTCTGCTCCCTTGTCCCTGAGGGAAGTTTCCCAGGGGGTCTTACTGACTAATTCCTTGAAGAGCTGGAATTTTGCTTTCCTAAAATTCAGCATCCTGACTTTACTCTTCACCTGACCCATATCCCTTCAGGACTGCAAACTCCACCAGTGCATGATCACTGCAGCCCAGGCTGCCTCCAAACTTGACATCACCAATTAGCTTACAACTGAAGCTGAATTAGGTGAGGAGCTTAGTTTGTCTTTATTAATGCCTCATGTCTCTTCCTGCTGCCCTCTGTCTGTTTAATCACGGAGCATACAAACCTGAGAAGGGTATAATATCTACTTAAGCCACAGTGGATCACTACATGAGGTACCCCTAGTCATACCACCTACGCGTAAGCTTGAGAAGGGACCTTGCCATACAGCATTAGAGAACGCCCTCCCCAGCTGTGTTGCCTGAAGTTGTGCTCCCTGACTGTTCTTAATTTAGCACTCAATCTGGGTATCATCTCTCTTCATACAAGAATATTTCAGCATGCAATGCAACTGGTAAGAACATTAAAAACCCATCCTATTTTATAACAGATATCCGTGCTTACAGTGTTTCTTCAGTGCTTACCTGGGAAGTACTGGCTCTGTTTTCAAGCTCAGAACATTTTGCAGTAACAGTAGATAAATTACATTTTAACCGGTTTATTTCTTCCGATAGTGAATGAAGTAACTGTTCTCTCCTTTCTGCTTCCTTTGTTTTTTCCTCTAGTTGACTTTGTAACGAGGAAACTTCACTATTCTTGGTTTTGGATCTAAGCTTGTCTTTCAGGTTTTGGATTTCTTTGTCCTTCTCTCCAAGAAGATGGTTGTGTTTTTCTTTATCTTTTTCAAGGGAAAGTATTTTCTAAATGAAATGGAATAAAGAAAAGGGAAACAAATGAATAAGTATCAGTCTATGTAACAAATGCATTAGCAAGTTTACAACAGTTTGAGAACAGTTGTAACTGTTGTAACAGTTGAACAGTTTACTACACTTTGAAAGGTTCTCTCTTATCCTTTAATTAGCTGAGAAGATTACTTTTTACTCAAAACAGTCAACACTAGTGGTCATCACAATACTACAATACTGGCCTTTTAGTTTCAAAATGTGCTTTAGTAGACATTTTCAACAGGCACTCTCTTTTCAGTAGGCCTCAAGCGCAGGCAATTATGACAATAGTACTGCATTTGAGATACCCTGGGGCTCTATGTAAACTTCTGTTATGATAGCATTTCATTTTTCCATGAGACAGGTTAACATTGAAATCCTAAATGTTGATATCAAGTCATTAGAAGATGACAGAGAAACTGAAAGAAACTGAATTTTAGAGAGCCTCATTTGGGGAGCAGTTGAAGACCGCACAGTGCTCACTAGAGTTAAATATTGACATCAAGTAGTACCCAGTGTATCTAAACATGCCTGTGATTTTCCACCTGTAAATGAGGAACCCGATATTAAGTAATCAACACTGAGCAAGCAGCAAACTCCACCAGACACAGCAAACACGCTAAGGAATTTAGTGACAACAGTACGTGAGCTGTCTAGCCATAGCTGATGCTTGGGTTAGCCCTTCTCAACTGATGTAGCACAGACACACAAAAAGCCTTTTTGTCAGAAGTAGCCTTAGAAACATTAGTGTGCCTAGTCTCCATTAGCTGTATCCTTTGAAAGAGTCCGTTTAAAGTTTTCCAGTCCTTCTGGGACGCCTAACAGTATGAGACTTGGTCACGTATTAAGTCTTGAACTTCTTTCTCTGCAAGCACAGGTTTACCTCGAATAGACTACAAGGTGTGGAAATTGCAGTGTCTTAGTTCCTGCTCTTTGGTTGTAATGGAAGAATAGCGCAGCAAACTGATTAGTTTTATTTACCAATAGTTGAGGGGGAGCTTGAGAATACAGTTCAAGGAAACACTCGGCACTTTTTAGCATATTCTTAGGCAGCTGTTTGCAAACACAACGTTCTTTGCAAGAAATGGTCAAAATACTTCTCTGGGACCAACTGTTCCAGAGAGCCGGACGTAAGAGGACAGGTCTTAACGGGCTAACTGGCACCTCTGCCCTCAAGTCTTCGTATTTAACAGCTTTGCCAAATGATCGCAATTTGATTAGTTCAGTCATCGTTGAAAAACATTTGAGACCAAAAATGTCAAACTACAGCAGCAGCGACATCACAGCAAACTCAGTTTTAAGAGGAAAGATCGGCACATTGCTTGCAAAGTCGGACATACTCAGACTCACGTTAACCGTGCACAATTAGGACATCACGAACGTCAGCTCGAGTACAAACATGCACCTCACCGCTAGGAGCCCGTTCCTTTCCGTATCCGTCATTTTGCTTTTCCCTTTCATGCCTTCCTCCATTGATTTCCTCAGGGCGGCGTTCTGCTCCTTACACTTCTCAAGATCATTCTCAGGCCTGGAGCTGCCCGACTTTAAGCCCCACTTGCCGGTAATTATCTCTTTGGCGGTCTTGGAATTCATCTTTAAGCACCTATAAAAAATAAACGCCGCGCTACGGAATAGCGATGCCTTCCACCAAGCAGGACGTGGCTTCTGACAGGGTTTTAGTCAGGCACGGGCAGCGCAGGGCTTCCCGGCTCCTGACAGCGATCCCCGGGCCGGGCCGCGGGAAGCAAGCGGGCCTGCGAGCACGCTGGGTTCTGGCCGGGGCTGGGGGCCCTGCCCAGCAGCTGCTCCCGCCGGCCCCAG